AACTTGACTAACATTTATATTCAAGTTTCAGAGTAGCAGCCGTGTTAGTCTGTATCCACAAAAGGAACAGGAGTATCTGTGGCACCTTATAGATTAACAAATATATTTGAGCATAAGCTTTTGTGGGCTAAAACCCACTTCATCGGATGCATGCAGTGGAAAATACAGTAGGAAGATATATATATATATATATATATATATATATATATACACACACACACACAGAGAGAGAACATGAAAAAATGGGTATTACCATACACACTGTAATGAGAGTGATAAGTTAAGGTGAGCTATTACCAGCAGGAGAGGAAAAAAAAACTTTTTGTAGTGGTAATCAAAATGGACCATTTCCAGCAGTTGACAAGAAGGTATGAGGAACTGTAAGGGGGAAAAAATAAACATGGGGAAATAGTTTTACTTTGTTTAATGACCCATCCACTCCCAGTCTTTATTCAAGCCTAATTTAATGGTGTCAAGTTCACAAATTAATTCCAATTCAGCAGTCTCTCGTTGGAGTCTGTTTTTGAAGTTTTTGTTGTTGTTATATTGTGACTTTTAGGTCTGTAATCGAGTGATCAGGGAGATTGAAATGTTCTCCAACTGGTTTTTGAATGTTGTAATTCTTGACGTCTGATTTGTGTCCATTTATTCTTTATGTAGAGACTGTCCGGTTTGGCCAATGTACATGGCAGAGGGGCATTGCTGGCACATGATGGCATATATCACATTGGTAGATGTGCAGGTGAACGAGCCTCTGATAGTGTGGCTGATGTGATTAGGTCCTATGATGGTGTCCCCTGAATAGATATGTGGACAGAGTTGGCAACGGGCTTTGTTGCAAGGATAGGTTCCTGGGTTAGTGTTTTTGTTGTGTGGTGTGTGGTTGCTGGTGAGTGTTTGCTTCAGGTTTGGGGACTGTCTGTAAGCAAGGACTGGCCTGTCTCCCAAGATCTGTGAGAGTGATGGATAGTCCTTCAGGATAGGTTGTAGATCCTTGATGATGTGCTGGAGAGGTTTTAGTTGGGGGCTGAAGGTGACGGCTAGTGGCATTTTTTTACTTTCTTTGTTGGGCCTGTCCTGTAGTAGGTGACTTCTGGGTACTCTTCTGGCTCTGTCAATCTGTTTCTTCACTTCAGTAGGTGGGTATTGTAGTTGTAAGAACGCTTGACAGAGATCTTGTAGGTGTTTGTCTCTGTCTGAGGGGTTGGGGCAAATGCGATTGTATTGTAGAGCATGGCTGTAGACAATGGATCGTGTGATTTGGTCAGGATGAAAGCTGGAGGCATGTAGGTAAGTATAGCGGTCAGTAGGTTTCCGGTGTAGGGTGGTGTTTATGTGACCATCGCTTCTTAGCACTGTAGTGTCCAGGAAGTGGATCTCTTGTGTGGACTGGTCCAGGCTGAGGTTGATGGTGGGGTGGAAATTGTTAAAATCATGGTGGAGTTCCTCAAGGGCTTCTTTTCCATGGGTCCAGATGATGAAGATGTCATCAATGTAGCGCAAGTAGAGTAGGGGCATTAGGGAACGAGAGCTGAGGAAGAGTTGTTCTAAGTCAGCCATAAAAATGTTGGCATACTGTGGGGCCATGCAGGTACCCATAGCAGTGCCGCTGATTTGAAGGTAATACATTGTCCCCAAATGTGAAATAGTTATGGGTGAGGACAAAGACACTAGGTTTGCCGTGACATTATCAGGGATACTGTTCCTGACGGCTTGTAGTCCATCTTTGTGTGGAATGTTGGTGTAGAGGGCTTCTACATCCATAGTGGCTAGGATGGTGTTTTCAGGAAGATCACCAATGGACTGCAGTTTCCTCAGGAAGTCAGTGGTGTCTCGAAGATAGCTAGGAGTGCTGGTAGCGTAGGGCCTGAGGAGAGAGTCTACATAGCCAAACAATCCTGCTGTCAGGGTGCCAATGCCTGAGATGATGGGGCGTCCAGAATTTCCAGGTTCATGGATCTTGGGTAGCAGACAGAATACCCCTGGTCGGGGTTCTAGGGGTGTGGCTGTGCAGATTTGCTCTTGTGCTTTTTCAGGGAGTTTCTTGAGCAGATGGTGTAGTTTCTTTTGGTAACCCTCAATGGGATCAGAGGGTAATGTCTTGTAGAATGTGGTGTTGGATCGCTGATCTATCCAGCTATACTTTTAGCCCAGCAGAAGTATCTGTCGTATCTCAGGGCCTCTCCTTCTGCCCCTCCACCCCCACGAACATGATACAGTTCTATGGTGACCTAGAATCCTATTTTCTACGTCTCTGACTCAAGGAATATTTCCAACACACCTCTGAACAGCATATTAACCCACAGAGACCTTCCTACCAACACTACAAAAAGAAGGATTCTGGGTGGACTCCTCCTGAAGGTCGAAACAACAGACTGGACTTCTACATAGAGTGCTTCCACCAACGTGCACGGGCTGAAATTGTGGAAAAGCAGCATCACTTGCCCCATAACCTCAGAACACAGATGCAGAACTCAGTGCCATCCACAGCCTCAGAAAGAACTCTGACATCAGAAACAAAGGCTGACAAAGGAGGTGCTGTTGTCATCATGAATAGGTCGGAATATGAACAAGAGGCTGCTAGGCAGCTCTCCAACACCACATTCTACAAGGCATTACCCTCTGATCCCACTTTACAGGTTGTCACGAACTGCACCTTCCTGGGCATACACCTTGTTCAAAACTGGTGTCTCTGGGTCACTGGTACAGCCCTGTTACCCCTCAAAGCTTCCTCTCAGGAAACTTACCTGTGAATATTGGATAATCCTGGCTGCTTTTCTTTACTCTATTTTGAGGACTCTTCAGATTTTTTTCAAAAGATCTCAATTGACTATGCCTCCAACTTCTGGGTTTGGTAAACCCCTAAATATTTATTTAACCAGAGTAAATATAACATAAACATAAAAATAGTTTTCAGTAACCCTTCTACTTCTTACTCCCAGACCAGAGGGAAAACCTATAAAGCCCAGTACTTCTTCCCTTCCTGATCACAGTCTATTTCTCCAACCTTTGTGTGTGATCATGATCCCATCCTCCTGACGAGCCAACTGACAACTCTCAAATTCAACCTCCGCTCCCAAGTTTCAAGTGAGCGGTCTGGGTAGAGCTTCCATCCAGTAGTCTATTCCATCCAATAGATTTCAGAATGAAGTTCTAGAGGCTGATATTCCACTCACAAACTGGTGCTATTCCACTGATTTAAATTGAATTACTCCTGGTTTACACTAACAGAAGCCAGGGGGAATCTAAACTCTAATGTCTATACTTATTGACAGAAACCGTGGCCACTTTGAAGTTAATGGGAGTTTTGCATTGACTTCACTGGGGATAGGATTTCACTCATCATAATGATCTATTTATTGCTCAAGCAAGAACTTTACTAACCATGATTTTAAAATATATTTAAAAGAAAATAGAAAATAAATTCTGGGACTTTAGCTGTTTTTTTAAAGGCATAGTCTGTGCTCTGCTAATTGTGTCAATTGTATGGATGGGTGACACTTTTGTTTTAAATTCATTTTAGTAAAGGGCTCTAAGACAAATTATTCTATTGTTTACATTGTTGTAGATCTGGAATCATTTCACTGTAGAAAACGGATTTACCCCTGATTTACAACAGTAAAACTTAATAGTAACATCTGTCCTGCTGAATCAAATGTTGCCTCATTTACACGCCCTTGCAATCCCACTTATCTGAGGAATGTTACATGGGTGTAAAAAGGAGGCCAAACTTGACCCACTTTGTTTTTTTCAAACTCAAAGATATTTTTACACTACTTTGAAACAACTGAGACCTTAGTAAAAGGTTTGTAAAGTAGTATATTAGTTATACATTTTAATAAATAATTGTTTGGTTTAAATTATAATAGCAATAATAACATTGATATTGCCTACTGACTTTCCAGTTAAAACTCAATCCCACTGAAATATTCTGAAAGAGAAAAGGGTATCTGAAAAATATTAGATTCCAATCCTGCAATATTTACTCAGCTGCAAGGTCCCACATAAAATCACTGAGATTGCTTAGGTGACTAAAAGCTCAGGACTGTATGTAATTTGTAATTATGTAATTAATGTATGTAATTAAAAATTAAAAGTGATCAGAGAAGTGAGACATGGATCAATGAGACCCTTCTAATGCAAATGCAGGTACAGTTCCTCAATAGAAGGCATATTGTATATTAAACTATTATACACCCTAATCATACAGTATAGACACAGTCTTATATTACAGAGGAAACCATTTGAAAATTAACAAAAAGGCAGATTGTTAGCCTTAGGGCATAAGAAATTGATCTGTGTTACAGTAAATGTCAAGAGGGCTACTAAAGAAATATAGGGAGAACACAGTTGGAACTAAAAAAATGAAAGAAAGTTTTCATACAAAAACTTTGCCCCTTTAATGGACAAGAAGTTTATTTCTCTGTCATCTAGCCATACAACCAGGATTTTCAAAATACGTATTTTGAAAGCACCTATTCCAGTCAATACAGCAAATAGTATTCTTGCAGTTTAACTTATTAATGACTTACAGTAATTAAATAAAAAAAATTCTTTTGGTTAAGGGATTTTGTAACTTTTTCAATATTGTATGTAATATTTACCTTATTCATTCTACAGGAGATTTTTATTTATTCACAATTTGTAGATGTTAGCTTTCAACAATTATAACACAAATTTATATATTAAGCTGACAAACATATTGGATTTCTTGGCTCTAGTTTCTAAGCACAGTAATCAGTGAAAAAGCTGAACTTCAGTTTAATAGCATTGGGCACTACAGCAAAATGTAGCCAAATACACAGTTGACATCACACTTACTATAAGATACTGCATACTGACTACTGCAAGACAGTTTTAATTAGTTTTGACTCCGAGACTGCCGAAAAAAATGATAATCAAAGTTTTATCTATATTTATAAAATATTTTAGCGACCACTTGTCCCAGACTGTCCCCAACGTATCAGTGAGGATCATGTCTTTCTTTTTAACAAACTTACCTTTTTCTGCAGTACATGTCCAGAGTAGGAGCAGAACAGTATAGCCCAGCAATATCATCTCAGTGCCTCAGAAACAGACCATCACATTTACAATGATAGGTGGTACTTTCTGTTGCTCTGGGCTATGTACACTCTGTCTTCTAACACTAACTGCTCCTGGAGCTGACCTTGCAAAGATTTTATTCTCTGACTTCAGCAATCACTTCCCCTAATCTTCTTGCAACACACAATAGTCTCTTTCTTTCTACACACATATATTATGCAATCTTTGCAGAAAAAAAAAAAAGAGAGCCTTGTTACTATTGGTTGTCTCTGTCCTTTCTGTGTTCTGTTTGCTTTTACCACACACTTCATATCTGAGAGTCACCACAATCCCTCCTACTTAACACAAAATCAAATACAAGTTGCTTCAATGAATCTAAAGTTTATTTTGAAAGGATATTTTCTCTGTGTTTTATATGCTTAATTAATCAAATGTTAAATTTTATATGTTGTAATAGCAACTAAGGGCCTGATCCTGACCCACTGAAGTCAGGGACAAAATTCATTAACTACAACAGAAATAGGATCAGGTACCTAATCTTTCTTCACACTCTTAACCCTTCCCTAGCAGACCAACCATCACATTGCAGTCCCTCACAGTCACACTGAGGTTATTCTAAAATACTAAGAAATACAGTATTTGGCCCTTGCAGAAACAGCTATATGGAGGGAAAAAAGATTGAACAAAAAGAGATAGTGAGTAAGATCCAGCTCAGTACTTTTGTGGAAAGTGGAGAATTCTCATGCATTGTGCTATTATTCCACATCCAGTGACAAAAGGCAGAGTAATTTAAAGAGTTGTGCAACCAGGATGGCATGCAATTTCAGTTGTTGAAAGGAGAGAGTCTACAGCAGGTGGAATTGACTAACTTTGCCTACATGTGATCACATCTGTACCTGTACTTGCTGGTAGTCTGCCACTCTTGCCTTTTGTTCTTCATGCTAACAGCAGCCCATGACAATTCTGGACTTTACTGCCCAGACCAAGGGTTCTCAAAAGTTTCACAGGTTGGGCCATCTCTTAATAAAGATTATTTCATAGACCACCTCCTCTCCCATTGGCAACTGCACAGACAATTTGTTCTCCCATTCACAATCGCTTTACGCAATAAGTGGAATCTACAACAATGGCTTATGTGGAAAAAATAATATCAGTAACACATTTAGTGTACTTTTAAGCTTCTTTTAATGCAATTTAGCAAAGTAAACAAGGAGTACAGCCCATAGCATGTGACCAGATACGTCTCTGAAGACCACTACGAATTCACAGACAAGAGTTTGGAAACCTCTGAACTAATAATATACTTTTCACTATACAGAATAGAGCTGGGAGGGAAACAGGTTTCCCATCATGTGAACATTTTCAAAGTGTAAAAAAAAAAAAAAAATCCTATACTCTATCAGGACAAAAAGTTTCTCTCTCAAATTTTTGCAAACCTAAAAAAAAAAAGTTTGAGTCAATCAAAACATTTCATTTCAATTTTGACATTTCTATTTATTTAAAACCTTATTTTGGCTAGATAGCAGTAAAGTTATTTCAACTAGAAAAAATATTTTTATTTTGAATATGTCAAAATGAGGCTTTTCAACAGTTTTGAAACTGTTTTCCAATAATTCTTCAAGATTCATGGACACTGACCCTGTTTTGTGAACAATTTTGATTTTAATATAAAAAAAAATTGTCAAAAAATTCCCAACCAGCTCTTGTTTACAGACTTGTTTACTCTTCAAACAATTTCAACCTTACAATTTGTTACAACTCAGTGCTGTGTTAAATGGAAGGGTGTTTTTACTCCAGTTAAGTTAATAAGCAGTGATGTGTTTTTGTGTCTTTAGAGGAAGAAACATTATTTCTCTGAACTGTTCAGGAGTGAGCTGGACATTGCAGAGCACATGGTTTTGGGAAAATGTGGGACTGGGGGGGTGTTGGGGGGGGGAGGGGAGAATCACCCTGCTGGTTGTAACTAAGGCTAAAAGAAGTCAGAGTGGGGTTGCAGATAGGCATCTGAGGTTGGAGCTGCTGAACTAGGGCTGTCTTGCACACATATGGTTTGACCCACATGCTTACAGGCTGGTTGTGAGAATGTCCCCAGCTGGGAGCTACAGCAGCAAAGCACTGTAATGCACCCAGGTTTGCAGGGCATATGGTGACACAACCCCTCCCTGGTCTGGACTGCACCCTGAATCCTGGAACAGATGCCAAGGGAGTTTTTTTTAGTCTGAAGTTTAAAATAAACATATCCTTTGCAATGTTTGCATCACAAACATTGCAGCACTATATTTGTGCAGAAATATCAGACATTGAAATAGAGAGATACACAGTAAACAAGTAGTATAAATACAAAAAAATAAAAAGAGTTGTGAATCTTTCAATTTTCTCTCTCTCTCTCTCCAAAGAGAGAGAGAGCGCTTTCTCATCAATGTGCCTTAAAAAAACATGTCCATAATGAAGTTTGGTATCAAGGATGGTAGAGAATGCAGGAATTTGTGCTGCTGCAGACAGGGAGCTATGAAGTTTTTTTGGGAATGCTTCATGAATAAAATTGTTCATTTAGTAGTAGCAACATTCCCCCCCCCCCGCCACCCACACACTCTACTGGTGGCAAATTTCTGAAGTGGGTCTTAAACCATTGGCAGCTGTTCCATGTCATCTATCCAGCATACAACCCAGATACCCTGGCTGGGTGCTGCAATGAGAATTTGTTTCTGTAAAAAAGTTAATAAATTTTTAAAGTCTCCAAATTGTTACTGACCAATAATAGTGGTTTTACTGAGTACTATTAATATAATGATGTGATAATTAATGTATGTTTTATAAGTACAACAGTGCAGCCAGGAAGCATTATTTCATTGAGCTATTCTTTAGATAACTATTTCAGTCACAATATGTTTTTCCTGGTAGTCTCAGTCCAACCTGATCAAGTTTTATACATTGGCATTCTTTGTCAGACTCGACTGAGAGACTTAGGCTTCCACCTGTCTGACGGCTGGTCTATCCTATCACCACAAGTACTGGTGCTTCCTGAACAGGAGTTAGTCACACAGGATAAGGCACATTTGTGATGCAGTTGGCAGAAACTTGTACTGCTGTTGCTGTCTGTACACAACTGTGTTTGTTCTTTGGATAAGATGAGAACGCCTTTAGTGAAAACTTGTTACATTCATGATTAAAATAAAAAACATTGTCTGCTATCGTATGTAGTTCAGGGCAACTGCACCAGTATTCCTTCCTCAGTGTTCCCTCAACAGCACCCATGCTAGGTGTGACAGAGGTACAACCTGGAGCTGTGGGACCGCTGTGTCTCCTTAACTCTGCAGCCTGGGCTGGTTCTCATGATGCTTTGCCAGGGACAAGCAGCAAACCCCTGCAGGGGCTGTTATCACTCAGCCATCAGCATGCAGAATCATACCCAGCTAAGTTGCATGAACGCTCCCCAAGCCACTCATGAATCATACACAGGGAAACACCAGCAAATCTCACAAGCCTCCAGCCCTGCACCCCAGAAATATACTGTCTTACACTGCTCAAGATCTTCTCCTGAATGATGCAAACTTATAAATTAGTTCACTACTTCATCAAAGGAAAGTGGACATGCACCAGCCTTTGTAACCTCAGCAGATTTCCCAAGCACCTTAGACAAACTCATTGGTAAGGATAAAACATTAAAATAAGTTTATTAATTACAGAAAGATAGATTTTAAGTAGGGCTGTTGATTAATCGCAGTAAACACATGCGATTAACTAAAAAAAATTAATTGTGATTTAAAAAATTAATGATTAATCGCAGTTTTAATTGCATTGTTAAACAATAGAATACCAATTGAAATTTATTAAATATTTGTGATGTTTTTCTACATTTTCAAATATATTGGATTCAGTTACAACACAGAATACCAAGTATACACTGCTCAATTTATATTATTATTGATTACAAATATTTGCACTGTAAAAATGATAAACAAAAGAAACAGTACTTTTCAAATAAGCCTCATACAAGTATTGTAGTGCAATCTCTTTATCGTGAAAGTGCAACTTACAAATGCAGATTTTTTTTGTTACGTTAACTGCACTCAAAAACAAAACAATGCAAAACGTTGAGCCTACAGGTCCACTCAGTACTACTTCTTGTTCAGCCAATCGCTAAGACAAACAAGTTGTTTACATTTATGGGAGATAATGCTGCCCACTTCTTATTTACAATGTCAGCAGAAAGTGAGAACAGATGTTCACATTGGACTTTTGTAGCCGGCATTGCAAGGTATTTACATGCCAGATATGCTAAACATTCATATGCCTCTTCATGCTTCGGCCACCATTCCAGAGGACATGTTTCCATGCTGATTATGCTCATTAAAAAAATAACATGTTAATTAAATTTGTAACTGAACTCCTTGGGGGAGAATTGTATGTCTCCGGTTCTATCTTGCCCGCATTCTGCCATATATTTCATGTTATAGTAGTTTGGGATGATGACTCAGCACATGTTCATTTTAAGAATACTTTCGCTGCAGATTTAACAAAACTCAAAGAAGGTACCAATATGCGATTTCTAAAGATAGTTACAGCACTTGACCCAAGGTTCAAGAATCTGAAGTGCCGTCCAAAATCTGAGAGGGACGAGATGTGTAGCATGCTTTCAGAAGACTTGAAAGAGCAACACTCCGATGCGGAAACTACAGAACCCGAAACACCAAAAAAGACAATCAATCTTCTGCTGGTGGCATCTGACTCAGATGATGAAAATTAACATGCGTCGGTCCACGCTTCTTTGGATCCTTATCGAGAATGTCCTCTGGAATGGTGGGTGAAGCATGAATCTTTTGCGCATCTGGCATGTAAATATCTTGCAACGCTGGCTACAACAGTGCCATGAGAACACCTGTTCTCACTTTCATTGTGAACAAGAAGTGGGCAGCATTATCTCCTGAAAATGTAAACAAATTTGTTTGGCTGAGTGATTGGCTGAACAAGAAATGGGACTGAGTGGACGTGTAGATGCTAAAGTTTCACATTGTTTTTTTGTACATACTTCTAAATTTTTAAGTTCAACTTTCATGGTAAAGAGATTGCCCTAGAGTAATTGTATTAGTTGAATTGAAAAATACTATTTCTTTTGTTTTTTACAGTGCAAATATTTGTAATAAAAATATAAAGTGAGCACTGTACACTTCATATTGTGTGTTATAATTGA